ATAAATAGTAATCGAACCAAACATTTCGAAAAAGTCCAAATTTATTGTTTCACTAGATTAGAGGTAGGTACCAACCGTATATAGGCAACTTAATTACATAACTGAAGCTCAAGCTTGAGCCTTGAAGGAGGGATACATTGATTTCCTGAAGTTGTATGAACCTGAATCTAACACATCATCGGGAGGAATATATACGATTGATTGGCTAATATATAACGCAGTAATGTAATACAGTTATAATAAATCTGTAATCAAACAACAAATATTCTCTTTTCAGAATACATTTGGGATACGTTAGCATTGACTTTTTATAATTCTGTCCGCAAAATGGAAAATGATGGTATAGGTGTTAATTATTAATTGGACCAGAATTTAAGATGAAAACCTTAATCAAATCACGACTTACTTGGACTTGGTGCCTTATTTCTTATTGTTTCAAATATCGTGTGTTGAGATCAAGAATCTCACATCATCAGCGTGAGAACTTTTATATATTTATAAATTTTTCGTGTTAATTCACTCATTACCAATTGATCTTTTATGTATGATTCGAAATTCCATATTATTTTTAGTAATTAAAGTCTCTATATTTTGACATGTATCTTTGATATTTCTAAATTCTATTACTAACCGTAACAGAATGGTAAATTTGTGTGCTAAAAGATGATTTTTTTTTTTTTTTAAACAAATGCAGGTGGAATGCTATTATAGAGTATTAGAGTACGTAGAAGTCACGCAGACAAATTTTTTTGCCGTGTACATATCCTCCTTTGTTAGCTCGCTTTCAGTTGCTGGACCAAAATGGAGATGTATCAGTTGAAGTTGGCTAAAAGGGATTCCAATTAATGGATGAATTTTGTCTTTACTTACATTGTAAGGTGTAGATATATGGTATTTGGTTGGAAAAACAAATAAGGACTGTAATTAATTGAACAATTGCGGAAAGAATGAAGATACTACCACATGAATATTCCTTACTGTCTTTAGAAAAAGAAGGTGGGGGAGTTTTTAATTGTTTTTGGTAGATTACCTAGATATCGATCCGAAGACCTAAAGATTATATAGTAGTAGTATTTCTAAGATATGTAATCCTAAAAATATCACGATAAAATCACAACTTCAATCAACTCTAAGGTTTAAAAAGAGTAGTTCAATTCCTATCACAAAAATTCAGTCACGATAAATTTACAAATCACATACTGTTTCGTTTTCAAAATAATTGTCATATCTATTATTAGACAATGATTCGAATGAGGAGGCAAAACCCTAATCATATATCAAGTGAAGCCAAGAAATGATTGGCCCATTTGACTCACAAGGGTTAAAACCGCTTTCAATGAACAATAAATGCGTGCACTTTGGGTGATTGTTGATGCAATAATGTATCAATGCCTGATAATATAAATCAGTGGATCAAATTTTGCACATCACAGTGAGGAGTCGAGTCACGACCAATTGGGGGAATGGATTCATGATTGAAAGTGTGATTTACACAACTCAATGCCAATCCACTGAGTAAGGACTCGTACGGAATAGCCAACACACTCATTGTAACCCAACTCAAAAATAAAACCCAAAAAAAAAAAAATAATAATAAAATCAACTAATCAAGTGTTTGGCTTATACTTAATTTTTATCATTCATTTCAACATATGGTATTCAATGAAGAGACTCCTTGATATATACTCCTTCTGTCCTATAATTATTGTCCAGTTTGGATTTTCATTTTTAGTTTAAATTGTACTAAAAGTGAAATTTCAAACTGCACAATAATTTTGGGACATAGTACATATTCGAATAACATGATGGAAAATTATTTTTTTACAATGGATTTTTTTTTGAATTCCGACTTCGTAAACAAGCTTTTATATCTTATTTCTTACCCTTACCGGTCCATCGATCCATCATTCTTTTCACCTGAACGGAGGTTTCTCATTTACACCAGAATCAACCCAAATTTATGAAACTAGTACTTAGAGGCTGCTTTTGAGAATACTGTATATGGCATAGCCATAGACTAATTCAATAACGATATTCATATTCCAGCATTATTAAAGAGAGTATTCCTCCACGTCTTTAGGTATCATAAATGCAATCATATGTATTTCCTAATTAATGCATTTGATGAATTTAAGAAAGAAAGATATTGAATGGAATCCCAAATTTCCCCCAATGAAGAATCCACATAATTATTATAAATTATTTATATAGTAGCACTGCATTAAAAATCCTACGCATGTACGGAGTACAAAGAAGAGACAAACCAAGCGGACCGAACCAATCACAACAATGATGTAATGACAACAAGTATTCTCCGGCAAGAAAAGAAAAGAAAATGGAATGACAACAAATATGCAGCTTCGAAGGGAATCAAAAGTTTTGAATAGGCAATGAATACATACAGTATATATAAAAATACCATAAACACCATGTAATATGTGCGCAATGATTGTTGTGTGTATAAAGTATAAACACCAAATTTCTTTGCCAAGAAAAAAAAAAGTAAAATGTTGAAATAGTCCCTTACATTTACCCTTACTTGAATTTACGTCCCTTACATTAACATTTCAATATCGTAGTCCCAAACATTATGTGTTCACACTTTTTTGGTCCCATTTTACTGTTTCGACTACATTTCCGTCCAACTCGATGTTGACCGGCCGTTGACTTGTCAGGGTCATGGTTATTTTCATCCTTTCACGTAATTTGACCTTCCATCAAATTAAAATCATTAAAAATATTAAAAAAGTCATATTTTAAATTATTAAAATAGTATTTATTATTTAAAATATTATTATAATATTTTAAAATTTATATTTTTTAAAAAATAGTTTTTTCATTTACCATTTATCTTAGGTGAAAAGTAAACAGTAATTATTCTATATTTTAACCCCGGGCCCACAGTAAATTTATAATTTTACCGGGCTACAGTGAAAAATTTAAATTTCAAATTTTAAAAAAAATAAAAAAATTTAAATTATGAAAAGTAAACAGCAATTGTTCTACATTTTAACCCTAGGTCCACAGTAAATTTATAATTTTACCAGACTACAGTGAAAAATTTAAATTTCAAATTTAAAAAAAATAAAAAAAATTTAAATTATGAAAAGTAAACAGTAATTATTCTACATTTTAACCCCGGACTCACAGTAAATTTAGAATTTTACCGGACTACAGTGAAAAATTTAAATTTCAAATTTAAAAAAAATAAAAAAAATTTAATTACATTTTAACCCTGGGCTCACAGTAAATTTATAATTTTACTGGGCTACATTGAAAATTTTAAATTTCAAATTTAAAAAAACTAAAAAAAATTTCAAATTATAAATTTACTGTGGGCCCGGAGTTAAAATATAGAATAATTACTGTTTACTTTTCACCTAAGATAAATGGTAAATGAAAAAACTATTTTTTAAAAAATATAAATTTTAAAATATTATAATAATATTTTAAATTAATAAATACTATTTAAATAATTTAAAATATGAATTTTTTAATATTTTTAATGATTTTAATTTGATGGAAGGTCAAATTACGTGAAAGGACAAAAATACCCCTGACCCCGGCAAGTCAACGGTCGGTCAACATCGAGTTGGACGGAAATGTGGTCGAAACAGTAAAATGAGACCGAAAAAGTGTGAACACATAATGTTTGGGACTACGATATTGAAATGCTAATGTAAGGTACGTAAATTCAAGTAAGGGCAAATGTAAAGGACCATTTCAACATTTTACTCAAAAAAAAATAAAAAAGAAAAGAGAAGACGGCAAACAATCGTGGGCGAGACTAAACTAATAAATTCAATGTTGGTTTTTGATTCCTTTCCTTTGGTCCTTCCATCCACGCTTTCACTCTTCTTTTTGTCTTTCCTGTTTGTGATCTTTTGAGTCACAACACAATAGTATCAATTAGCTAATAAACTACTTAATGGAGTATGTCTTTGGAGCACATACTCCCTCTATCCCGAAATTATTATCCAGTTTGAATTTTCATTTTATGTAAATTCAAACTGGACAATAACTAAAAATGAAAAACTCAAACTAAACTATAATTTCGGAACAGAGGGAAAATCATTCATCTTCAGACACAATACAATTTGTAATATGTGTTATACATTCTGACTTTATTTAAAATATGAAAAATACACACTAAAAAAAAAGTTTCAAATATAGAGATAATTCTAGATTTTTTTTTACCCCTGTTATATTCACCATATTTATGCAGGCCCATCATTAAATTCTTTTGTTTTCACTTCAACTTGAATGAATATGGCAAAGATACGAAATCGCTAATTATCAGACCTGTATGGTTTATAACTTTTAAACTTTTTTCTTTTTTTTTTTTTAAAAAATAAAATTAATGTTTCCTAACTTTTTTTGATCTGAGTAGGCCCAAGTGATTCAGTTCCTGCCTGCACCATAACTCCTTAAGAACTGTTACCTATAGTGGCTTTCAGACTTTTCAAACCATTTTATTAGTTTTTTTGAGTTCAAAGATTATCAAGAAAATTGGTCTGGACTTTTGTTCCAAAACTGCATCATAACCTGCAGCCTCAACTCAATATCTTCTACTTTTGGAGTACTAAAAAGCTTATATCATGGCAAACAGATAATCATCTCTTAGTACAAAAAGCTTCAGCACATTATGTTGTTGTGCATGTTGATGTGAAGAAAGTGGTTCATCATCAGGCATCCCAAGAAAAATTTTCTCAGAGAGAAAGGAAAAAAAAAAAAAAACTTGTGGGTCATTTTTAGCTTTCACTTTCCATCCCTAAAGGTTGTGATATCAGATCATTCATTGTACCAAGAATTTTCAACTTCTAGTTTCAAAGGTTTTTCAACTTGATGATGATGGCCTTGGGAAGTTTGAAACTTTGGCTTCGAGAATTGCTGTTGTTACAGCAATAAATGTGCATGTTTTTCTGGGGTCCCAAATGATTTGAACTTGAAGGGGGAAAGAAAAAGTAAAAGAAGCTGGTGGAGAGATTATTATTATTATTATGGCATCAGGGCCCCAAAATCAAGATGTTGTTTTGGAGAACCTGAGGAAGCAGCTTGCTTTAGCTGTAAGAAGCATTCAATGGAGCTATGCTATTTTCTGGTCCATTTCATCTAAACAACCCGGGTAGTTTACTTATAATCTTCTATTCACTTTGTTCTATTCCTTCTCTTTATTTTTGTTTTGCCATTGATTCTTTTGAAACAGCTTCTGTCACTGTATCCTTCTCTTCTCCCAAGCGAAAAAGAAAAAAGAAAAAAGTTTTGAAGCTGAGTTCTGAGAAAGTAATACTATATGTTGTAAGATACAGAATGTGGAGTATACATTCATGGAGGATTTTCAGTTTTTTTTTACGAATAAATTCATAGGGATATTAAGTGATTGAATGAATAAAAATTGAATTTTGTGCTTTGTTTTCCTGTTGAGTTATAAGGCTGCTGATTATTTGATGTTTTTGAGGACAAATTGGACCTTGTATAGGGTGCTGGAATGGAGTGATGGATACTACAATGGGGACATCAAGACTAGGAAAACAGTTCAATCAGCAGAACTCAATGTTGATCATTTGGGATTGCAGAGAAGTGAACAGCTTAGGGAGCTTTATGAGTCCCTCTCTGAAGCTGAGACCAACAGTACTCAACAAGCTAAAAGGCCTTCAGCTGCATTGTCCCCTGAAGACCTTACTGATACCGAATGGTACTACTTGGTTTGCATGTCATTCATCTTCAAGATTGGCGAAGGGTAAATTCATGTCTTTTGTACTCTTAGAGCCTTCTTTTTCTCTTCAGTTTCTTGGCTTAATGCAGTTGCCGGTTTCAAGTTTTGGGGATTCTCGGTTTCAAATTTGTGCTGTGGAAGAGGGTTGCGTTTGGTTAACCGCCAGTGAATAACTTTAACACATCCAATGTATATGAATTATGTACCATACTCACATAGTGGGATAAAATCAACTTGTTTGTTATAGTATTGCAGTAAGAGCGGCATACATGTCAAGTCACACTCTTAAGTCTATTGTAGGCCGCGGCCTCCAAGTTGTCAAGAATGCATTGCTAATCATAATATGGTAAAATTTCACGAGATCCTGTCTCTTACATAAACTAGAAAAAAAAAAACTGCATTTCCCTTCCTGCAGTTAGGATTTATTAGGACCATATTCATGTCCATGCATCTCCGCATGAGGATACTTTCGGGAAACTGCAAGTGGTCAAGAACCAGTTTGTTTCTACATTAGGATTGGGACCAATGTCATGACCTTCCACCACCAATTGATTTAGGTCCACCTTAAATGTGCATTTTTGGGAGCAGTAAAACTAAGGTTTTACGGCGTCATTCCTCTTTTACCATGCTGTCATTCTTGACTGCATGGAGGAATTAATTATCTTGAATAGAAATTGGTCGCACAAGAATTGATTGGAAGATGTAATTTTGGATCTTAGCCATCAAATGTTTTAACTGACAATTTAATAAGCATGCTGTTTTGTTTGCTGTGATCACAGATTGCCGGGCCGCACACTGGAAAAGGATCAAATTATATGGTTATCCAATGCTCACCAAGCAGAAAGCAAAGTGTTTTCAAGATCTCTGCTTGCAAAGGTAAGTAAATAACTCTTTACTGTAATTTTTGTGCCCCTGAATTCCTCACTTCATTGTGCCATATGCTATGTCTAGCAATCTAACATCACTTTTGCATTGGTACCTAACCTGGATCACGGAACTTGCACTGCCTTCATCAGAGTGCATCTATTCAGGTATTGTACTTTCTCCTTCATCAACTTAACCAATTTAGCCATTCAAATGGATTGAAGATCCAAAATTTTACGCCATATACTTTTGGTCTAAAGTATGATATGATGGTTTTCTATTTGACTGTGATTGTGTAGACTGTTGTTTGCTTTCCACATCTGGGAGGTGCAGTGGAGCTAGGGGTAACAGATTTGGTAAGATCAGTTCTTCACTTTAGAATCTGCGTGCTATTTTTTGGATGAGAACATGATTGAATCCTTTTTATGTACCTCCGTGGATATCTATTACTAAAAGGTTACAGAAGACACAGATCTTGTTCAACATATCAAATGCGCTTTCTTGGACAATCCTTACATCAACATCTCTGAAATTCCCTACTACGTTCCTGATAATGGAAGAACTGACATAAGTATGAGAGAAAATGATCTTGATATGCTGGCTGAAGGTGAAGAAGAACAGATTAGTTCTCCAAATAACAGTACAAGCGGTTTTGAGGATGATCAGTACGCAGAAGAATCACATATGTTGGAAGACAATAATGAAGATGCTTCTCAGGCACAAAGCTGGCAGTTTATGGATGATGATGATAGCAATTATGCTCATAACTCTATGAATCCTAGTGACTGCATATCTCAAACATATGCATACCAGGGAAAACCTGCTCCTCATTGCAACAAATCAAGACCAAATAATGAGGATAATTTGCATGAATTACATGAGTGCAACCAGAAGAAACTGAATAGTTTTGGTTTTCGTGGTGATGATGTTCACTATCAGGGTGTGCTTTCCACACTCCTAAAAACCTCTCATCAGCTGGTTTTGGGGCCATACTTCAGAAATATGAACAAAGAGTCTAGCTTTGTTAGCTGGTCAAAAGAAAGGTCAAAAGTTACGCCCACAAAATATGGTGGAAAACAGCAAAGATTACTGAAGAAGATCCTCTTTGAAGTTCCTAAACAGTATGGAAATTGGATGCAAGAATCTAGTGCAAACAATGGAAAAAGAGAGAGCATTTGCAGACCTGAAGCAGATGAACTTGACAGCAGTCATGTATTGGCCGAAAGGAAAAGGAGACAAAAATTGAATGAAAGATTTACATTGCTTGGATCTTTGGTCCCAACTAATGGCAAGGTAGTGCATCTCTGTTGCTTTTTTCATGATTATTCAATTCAACAATGCCTTTACAGAATACTAATCGCGTGGAATTTCAGGTTGACAAGGTCTCGTTACTTGATGACACTATAGATTACCTAAAAGAGCTTCAGAGAAGAGTCGAAGAGCTTGAATCGTACAAAGAAGAGATGGAGAGAGAGGCAAGAACAAGGAGGAGAAATCATGGAAGCAAAGAAACCACATCCAGTAACTACTTCAGAAGTAGAGCTGGGATCAGCAAGAAACCATTGATTAGCAAGAGAAAAGCCAGTGATGTTGCAGATACAGAACCTGATGATCATTGCATGTTGAGGGAGATTTCAAGTGATGATTTAACTGTCAGTGTGATTGATAAGAATGCTTTGATTGAGCTCAAGTGTCCTCATTCGGAATCTGTGCTTTTGGACATTTTGGAGGCAGTAAGCGACCTCAATCTAGATTCTCACTCAGTTCAATCTGCCAACTCTGATGGAATTCTCTCTATCACCATTAAAGCTAAGGTTTGGTACATATTATTTTGGAGCTCTTCTTCCGTCAATTCTCACCCTTCTTTTCCACCTTCAACTTCTTCATCACTAACACAGTAACTCGTCTTAAATGCAGTTTAAGGGCCGAAAAGTTGCAACACCTAGTATAATTCGACAAGCAATTCAGGGAATCATCCGGAAGAATCCAACATTATGATAATCCCGATCTGTTTCTTCATAATGGTAGGGTTTATCAGAGCATCATCCGGAAGGATCCAACTTAACTATAATCCTGAATGTTTCCTCTTGACAGTAGGGGCTTTTAGTAGCTAGCGTATTTAGATCTTTTGCTACAGTTTTTGTGTTTCATGCTCAAAAAAACGTCATCTTATTTAGTTTAAAGACGTTGAGTAGCACACAAAAACTGTAACAGAAGATGCCCCTGCAGCTAGCTTTGAGGAAACAATTTGCTGTTAAGAAAAGAGAATCATCAGCGTAGACACATTGGTTACTTCATAATGGATGGCAATTTCATTCTCGACCTGCAGTGCACTGAAATTCCACTTGAGGACTAAGAGGAAACATATGACCACACTTCATCAAAATTTGGAGATCATTCATTCATTTGTGTCAATCTTTTACAAAAAGTTCAGTACAAAGAACAGCCAGACAATATCTTACTGCTCTTCAGACCTTTCCTACAACTTACCATGACAAGAGAGACTAGCATTTTCTTTTTTCATTGGATACGAATGTAATCCCAAATTTTACATAAAGCTTCGGTATATCATCAGAAATAATCAGGCATGCTACAGGGAACATGTAACTATTCCCATTCAATTGTAGATGGTGGCTTCGAAGTAATATCTTGAACAACTCGGTTTACACCACGTACACTGTTGCAGATCTTCCTGGAAACATCATCGAGGAACTTGTGCTCAAAGTTGTACCTAAAAGATACAAGAAATGCATCAAGAAACAAGAGAAACATAGTCATTTACAGAAAGAGGGGAGAGAGTGGACAATATACCACAGCCAACCCAAAAAAAAAAAAGCGAGAAAGAGGGGAGAGAGTCGAACAGGAAGTGGACAATATACCACAGCCAACCAAAGTGAAAGCTGAAGGTTTTGAGGCCCCTGACTACAGATTTCAAACTAATTCAATCGTCTATTAAGTTCAAACAACAAAAATCCATCACTAGACGCCGAAATCATAAAATCATAGTGGTCAAAATAACAGAATCAACAATCATCAATCAAGTGCTTCGGAATAAACACAAATACATAGGTAAAAACAAAGAGAAAATTACCAGTCTGCAGTCATTCCATCTTGACTTGTAACAGCTCTCAATGCCACGACATGAGAATGGGTTCTTCGATCTCCTTGAACCCCAACTGATTTTATTGGCAAGAAAACAGCAAAAGCTTGCCAGATAGAATCATAAATCCCAGCATCTTTAATAGACTGGATAAAGATCTCATCAACCTAGAATAAGATATCAAGTCAAGAATCAGTCAAGAAACTGAACAACAAGTTACCGCCAACATAGCAAGCAGGTAGTTCACAAACCTCGCGAAGAACATCTAAGGCATTTCCTTCAGTGACATCACCAAGAACCCTCACTGCAAGACCAGGCCCAGGAAACGGATGGCGTTTTAGAAAGGCCTCTGGAACATTTAAAATTCTTCCCAGCGCACGAACCTTCAAATCAACAACAGGGTCAAGTGAAATTAGGAAAAAAAACAAAACAAAACAAGGGAAATGTGATGCCATGAAGAAATATGTTCAGGATGCATCACAGTAATAATACCTCATCTTTGAATAGAAGTTTAAGTGGTTCTATAAGCTTCAGTTTCATGTTCTTTGGAAGTCCACCAACATTGTGATGGCTCTTGATTGTGTGGGAGTGGGTACTTTCAGTTCCTGGTGGTGGACAAGATTCAATCACATCAGGGTACAATGTTCCTTGCACCAGGTACGCGGGCCTTGTTCCTAATTTTTGCTCCAAATCATGAGCAAATGCATCGAAAATGTTGATAAACTCCTTTCCAATAATTTTCCTCTTCACTTCAGGATCTACAACCCCTTTGAGCTGGCTAAGAAACTGCTCAGTTGCATCCACACAAGTGACAGGTAAATGAAGATCTCTCTCAAAAGTTTCCATCACTCGCTCTCTCTCCTTATACCTACAACGGAAAGGACAATTATCAGGAACTTGTTTTATACTTGACAGAAGGTTTTCTATACTCAGCTACTAGCCTCAATGTTAATATTCGATCAAACCTTAATAAGCCGTTGTCAACGAAAATGCAGTGGAGTCTGTCTCCAATTGCTTTATGAACAAGGGTAGCAGCAACAGTGGAATCTACACCACCAGAAAGCGCACAAATCACATGTTCTTCAAGTCCCACTTTCTCTTGAATGACTTTAATTTCTTGCTCAAGAACATCTTCCATCTTCCACTCAGCACTCACCCCACAAACATCAAAGAGGAAGTGTCGCAATGTGTCCATTCCTTCTGGTGTATGTGTGACCTGCAAAACAATAATGAAATACATAAGATGCAGAACAAACTTCATAGACAGACAATCAGAGTTTAGGATTCCAAGAAATAAGCAACACAAATATCTAAGGAAGAAATGGTAATAGTACCACCCCCCAAAAAAAAAAAAACCAAATCTTCATTTCAAAGTGACATTTGGGTAGTCGCAATAACATTAGGCTCCCAATAACTCAAGCGGAATGCGTTACATAGACTCAGATTATTCACAATGTGGAGTAACAGGGGATGTGTGAGGCATATGCAGCCTGCTTTCTTGATACTAAAAATATCACGTCTGAATTCAAGTTGAAAAGCTATATCAATTTTGTTGAGTGCACAAATCTCAGAATCCAACAAAACATATATTACAACCAGATGCATTCAAGGAACAAAAGCCTCAAACTTGCAAAGTATAAGTGGACCCCATAAAGATTCAGAAGAAACACCAAAAACTAAATTGTTTACTCGCTCTGAAAAGTAACACAGGACAGGATTTCAAATTTCCCACCAACACAAAAAAGCAAAAGTTAACCAACTCTATGAATAAAGGTGGCAGAAGAGAATCTATGTTTACACACAAACAAACTTATTAATATCCAACCAATATGAAAAAGGCGCCAATTTTTACCTCAGGATGATATTGCAGTCCATAGAATCGCCTCTTTCGATTCTCCACAGCAGCAACAGCACCTTGCTGACTCCTAGCCACCACCTCAAAACCCTGAGGCAAATTCACAGCCTCGTCCCCATGACTCATCCAAACAACCTGTTTATCCCCAACCTTTTTGTTCCCAAACAACCCACAATCCTTCTCCACCTCGATTTCCATCCTCCCATACTCCTGCTTCTCCCCAACACTCACTTTCCCACCGAGCCTCTGCACAATTAACTGCAGCCCGTAGCAAATGCCCAGGACATGAATCCCGTTTGACTCAACGTACTCGATGAAACCAGGTGGGAAACAAGGGGCGTTCGGCGTGTGGACGCTGTGGGGTCCCCCGGAGAGGATTATCACCTTCGGGTTTTGCTTGACGATGGATTCCAGCGGCACGGTTCCGTTGAGGCAGAGTGAATAGACCGAAAGGCTTCGGATTCTTCTTGTTATGAGGTGGGTGTACTGTGAACCGTAGTCTAGGATCAAAACTAGGTCTGATTTGACCTCCTGGGCATCCATTTCTGCTTGAGGAAAAGGTGAATTTGGGTTTTGGCCGGAGAAGATGGAAAAGCAGGGGTTTTGGGAGGGTTTTTGGATATGAAACGGCCAACGGTGGTGGCTAGGGTTTTTTGTTGTCGTGATTGGCGGGAAGACCCACCTAAATACTATCTGATTTTATAGTGGTTGAGTACCAATTATTATTTATTACTAGTATAATTAATTAGTGTATTTTGTTTTCATTTGTGGGAGCCCAGCATTATTTTAAAGAAACTTAACTGATCATCCTGATTGGCTTAGGCAAAACAATTTAGAAGAGTTACTTTTTTTTGACCATTTTGATAGGATAAATTCTTTGGTTAAGTAGTAGAGTATATATATATATACTAGTGATGTCTGAATGCGCGACCCTGGTCCAGTATATCTATAGATCTTAGAAATGTTTGTATTTGAACAAACATATTTTGCATTTGGCCCGATATATTTTAAAAACGTTTGAAGAATTTAGAAATGTTTTATAAGTATGATCATAAAAACGTTTGTATTTGGTAAAAAAAGAAATTGTATTTAACCCGGTACGTTTTAGAATTATTTGACGATTTTAGAAATGTTTTATAAGTGTTACTTATTAAATATAATAAACTTGATCAAATATATGTCTTGAAGTAAATGTTAGACAAAATATAAAAGCATCCTAATAAGTTTAAATATTAGTAAGATGTTTTATTGATGTTCTCCGTTTGTCGTGCCGAATTAATACTTAGTTTTGGAGATTTATAATAGCTTTGTAGTAAGCTTCCTCCGAAAGGTATACATTCAATTGTTGGAACAATTTCTTCCAAAGATTTATAGGTAGTAAAATATAAAAATATGATTTTGAAATTGGTTAATTGTTGAAACTGGTTGATCACAAATATGAGAATGAAAATTAATGTAAATTTGCATAGGTTTCAAGTTATAGCAAATAAGAACTCACCTCACTATGGCAAATAAAAAAAAAGAAAGTAAAAGATAGCCTATTAAAAATTGAGAAATTTATTTTTTTCTGTAGGTAAAAATGATGTATAAAAACACAAATAAACGTAGAAACATCATTCTTTCCCTCTCCACCTCAAATTCATAAAATGCTTCCCCATAAATTAGTTAGAAGAAGCGACCTGAACTATTTATATGATGAGTAACTCAAAAAAGTCCAAAAACCAAATCCAAAAAAGTATATTCTTGAAAGCCCGAACACAAAAAAAAAAAAACAAAGCGCTTCATTTGCAAAAAAAAACTAAAAAAAATAATAATAATAATAATAATAATTGGTCAACTAGGAGTATGAAACAAAATAAAAAACAACTAAACAAAGAAAAAACACAATTCATAACTGACCATATACGGAAAAAAACTGAGACTCCATAATTAAAAAAAAACCACTCTAATTGAATGAAACATAAAAAAGAAATTAAAAAAATCACACTTTGTAACAAAAACTCAATTGATCAATTCAATCCAAACAGAACTAAAATCATACAAAAATTCTAGGCTAACTAACCATATAAGATATCACATCATATTACTTGGCAACGGCTACGGTAGCTGTAACGGGTGGACGCATAAAAATAATAGTAATAACACTATTCTTGAACGGGAAAAATAAAAAATAATAAAAACCGTACAAATGATCTGTGGATATAAAATCATTTGAATTTTAATATCTGTAATGGCACCACCACAACGGCCGAAACAAGATCAATGAGAATTTTATTTTTTTCCCCTTTGTGTTTACATAGAAAGGTAAAGAGAATATTTTTTGAAGTCAAAATTTTATCCGATTAGGATGTAGTTGATCATAACTAATAAAAAGATTGAACATGCTAATAGGAAAGGAGTATATTTCACCACTTATTCTCAATTGATGATTGATGCGGAATTTGTTTTGTATAATTTTTTTAATTATGGAGAAAGAATTGATTAGGGAGTCGATTGTCGGGAGATGGGGATGAGGATTTGGATTTTTTATGAAGCCGTGGTTTTTTTTTTTTGGCGAAAATAAGAGGTAGAGGTGGATTTGGACTGCATTTGCCTTTTAAGTCTAGGAAACTGATGTGTAAATAAAAATTTATTTTAAAAATATAATGTGCAAATGCCACATGGCAAATGGCGGTGCTTTCTCTTGAGTGTGGTTTTTGTTTCTAATATAGTAAGATATATATATATATATATATATATATATTTGAAAAGAAGTAGTAGAGTTTAAATTGGAGAATTTTGGGTCCGAGTTGTAATAAAGGTGATAGAGAATAACAGATTTATTATTGGTGTAGGAGAGGTAATTCTTAAAAATAACCCAGTGCTTGAACAACTCAACTCAGTACTATATCCTATAAGGCTATCACACTGTTAGTCTAATGGAAATTGTGAACAAGGCCAATCTGGAGTGCCAACTTCAACTCTGAAGTTCAGCAATGGTATCCACTATTGAATCTTGCAGAACATCTTCAGCCATTTGAATCACAATAGCTTCTGTATGGGGATGAAGTTCAATCCATGATCTCGATTTTGCTATATCTTTACTGAGAAGATGGTCTAATGCTGGTTGTCCCATTTCTGGTAAAAGGTAGTAACTCACTTCCTTCACTACCTGATCAACCACATTTGCTTCTTCAAGTGGAATGAAAGGTCTGGTACTTGGTTTGAGAAATTTAAGGTAAGGGGAGGAGGAACCAAAGTAGTTGTAGTATATGCCTACGAGTATTTCATGGATGCAGTCGAGCAGGAGGTTGAGTTCGCTGTTTGTTCCGGCTTGGAACAGGCCCAAATTGTTGAACAGATATGAATCTAGGGCATGTTGAAGTGAAGGAGAACTAGAAACAGAACCAGAAATCAGCTCTTCGAAGTTCAGTTCTGATGCTTGCATAACAGCTCTCACATATGCAGCAACATAATCGTCTCCTTCCAGGCAATTAGCAACATCGATTACAGGATCTTCAGCAGGTTCAACATGTAACTGATCATCAAAGTCAATATGGCGCGGTTGCAAAGGAGATCCAGCTGAAATTGTACATAATGACATGGTTCAACAAATAGCTCAATGGAGTAAAATAGGAAAGTTGGATTTTGCAGAGGTATACCTTGCTCATGTATAGTGCTTGTAGGACTATTGATATCTTCAGGCGAAAATGGCTCCAGGACAGAAACCGGACTAGGATGCCCTTCTCTAGTTTTGCAAATGTCCAAAATTTGTAATGCCGGTATTTCTGGAGCCGTTGCTGAAGGGCAATCTGCTGAAGAGATATGGTAATGATTTTCCGGATAATCAGCCTGCAGAGGAAGGCAAAAACAGTTGATAAATGAACTAAGAAATATAGCTACAACAATAAACAGTTGATGGATGAAAAATAGCTACAACAAAAGGCAGCAGAGATGAGAAAAGCACTGAGGAAGAAGAAATCTCAGGTGATTATAGATCAACTATTAAATAAAACTCGGAACAAGAGACAGACCGATCTTGAGCCCTCCCCATTCCCGTTGACCTTAGGGGATCGGTTTGTTTCAATTCTTTGTCCAGTGGAGGTAATATCAGCAGTATCTGCTAACACTCTTTCTCTTTCTTCAGGGATGCTTATGTGACCTGAAAAACCATTTCGACTGTCAAAACAGTGCTACATGAAAAGGAAACAACACATAAAAGAATCAATTCGTGTACTACCTCTATGCATAAGATCTTCCCCAGCAGGATCAATGTTTTTATGAACTTCAGTTTCATCATGAGTGTTTTCTGGGAGATGAGGCTTACTATAAGAAGTTCTCAACTGATCATCAAATCTAGAATCACCATATGGAAGAACTTCTTTGTTTGTCCTCTGAACTGTATGCCAGGTTACTTCCTTTCCTTTCTCCATTTCGCTGTACGAGGAAATTTTCATTTCTTCTGGAACAGAAGCACCCAGGACATTCTTAGGGCTATCAGGTGATGAGAGAATCATTTCCAATGTTCTTAGTGACTGTTTCCTTGGTACAATTTCACCAGCACTCACATTCTTTAACCTCTCCGAAAGACGTCTTTTTGCCTCCTCAAATATATCAACCTGATCCCTCTTGGAGCCACTTCTAGTTAGGGAGTTCAGCTTCTTACTCTTGTGATCTTTATTGGACTCAATTTCAGGTCCGTTGCATGACATCAAACTAAATGGCTTTTGTTGTTTCTCCATCCTCTTGAAATCATTAGAAAGAGTAGATTCTCTAGTTGATGATGTACTACGAATGACACTCATTTCAGCATACCGCAGAGAATGTCTTTTGGAAGAAATTCGATTATCATCAAACGATACCAAATTCTGCTCTTTCCTGCTTTCTCCGACTGCTTGTTTAAATTTTCTTTTAATTTCTTTCAAGGAGAAGTACCTTGACTTGATGTTCTTCCCTTTCTGATTGAAGCTTTTATGAGACTGAAAACCTGAGCACTGGCAAAACACATTCTCAGGATGTTTCCTGTTCTTCGAGACTGGCTGCAAAACAACAATCTGACTTCCCCCAGAACAATCACTACCCTTGATGGAAAATCCATATCTATCCTTAAGTTTCTTCCACAAATGATTGTTCACATTTTTCTTCTGTATCCTCATTGTACTTTCAGGATCTCCATACTTCCGGATAGCACTGCTATGGCTTTCTGAGGACTTCGAATCACAAAGTAGCTTGCGTTTCTCTTTTTGTCCTTTCGGAAACTGCACCTTCTGGATATGTTTCACTATTAGAGAGTTTGGATCTTGCAGTAGTTGAAGGAACAGATCCCTATTTAAACGCAGAATTTCAGAAGCATCTGTGAAAGGAGTGGATTTATCGGAGGAAGCAGCTCTACTTGTATAAACTCTATTTATATACATTTGATCTATAAAAGCTTTAGCACTCATCTGAAGTAGTTGCAAATTGATATCGCCAAACTGCTTAAACCTCGGATTAGTACTTCTCGAAACATCTTCAATACGTCCTCCATCTTGATGAATATTTCCAGAGATTCTTTCCAACATTGTTGTGAAGGTTAAATGATCCAAGGATAATTCATCTGCACTTGAATATTGATGAGAACATATGTGCATTTTCTCCTTCCTGTGACCTATTCGCAACACCTGTGAAGCTTTCTGGGAGGCTTTCATTGCCCTCTTTGGACTATTTATAGATTGATGGACATTATCTGTCCTGTTCTGCTGTTCCTTAATAGCTTTAAGCAGTTTCTTCAATTGCTTCTCATTTGGAAACTCTTCCGGCATGATGTCCTTAACCTTGATCTTGCAAGCATCCTGAAACCAACCATATTCACATCACATTTCAAGTCATATATCAATACACTTTATGTAAATTTGAACAGTATGAGTTGGCTCAAAACTTCAAATGAAAAAATTTGTTCCATGTTCTTTCTATAAGCATTTGAATTGATCCCCAGTCCAATCATCATCCACCTCTATATTGGCTTCCTTAAGTTTGGAAAATAAATTCATATCAGTAATGATCACTTACTTCAAAATCCAGGCACTTATCGCAGAAATTCGGTCGCTTCCTTAAATGCTCAGAATCTGCAGCCAAAGAAGGGAAGTCTTCAGACATTGCAACATATGGAAGCTGCTCAAATGAAAGCCAAACTCTGAAGTGGCCTTATAACCTGTCAGATTCTCAATGATCCAACCATGCAAGTGTGAAAAAAGGACATCATTGCTACTAAAATCATTGGGACAACAATAAACACCATCAACTGAAACAGTTCCTAATTAGAATCAACTTCGATTTCTTTCATATTGGTCATGATCAAGACTAATATCAAACTTTATCAGGGCTGTAAACAGTAGTAAGAATTAACATCAACACCGACAAAAGTTACAGCCTAATGCAATGAATTATTTCTGCCTACCTGAATTGTGTCTTTGCATGGTCCTCCCATCTGTGAGCAGCTTCTGATGAGTATTACCATTCCTGAAATCAAACATATCAGCCAACCCCCATGTACCCTTTAATTGGTTATTCTTGCTTTTTGGAAGAAATACTTCTGTTGATCTATTTCTCATGGTCAGTGACTAAAAACTTCAACAGCAGAATTCCAAGTTGGTTAAAAGCAGCCCACATCCCCAAAAGACATCAACCTACAAAATGCAAATGAAAACAATCATCAAACATCAAACTCTGGAACACTAATTCAAAGAGGAGCACACATTAGTACTTATGTCAATGTTAATATCTAAAAACAACATGATTTGGCTTGTAAGTTACAATTTTCTTTTTCTTAAAGACTTACAATAACTAAGCTTGAAAATTCTGCAGCTCTTCCAGTGTACTCAAAGTGTCAAGACAGAGTCTTTAATCAGGCATTCAGAAACAAACCCTGAATTATTTTGCTGAAAGGAATAAATTACCTAAAATTCAGCAAGATAAAGTGGAGAGGAAAAAAGGGTGTCTGAAGAAAAAATGAGCAGAGCTTTTTCTCTGAGCTGCTGCTGCAAATGTCAAAAGAAAGACACAAAAATAAGCGGCAGAGAAGAACACAGAAGTAAGAACTAAAAAAGGATGAAGAGAGAAAAAACAAAAATGTTTCATGCATGAATGTTAGTGAAAATAATATAATTTAAGAAAATGCATTAAATTAGTAGTAATGTTGCTAGAAGGCTTGACACTGACCGTTGCTTACTGACAAGAATCACATTAAATTTTGTTATTTCTTTCTCCTACTCCCCCCACCCCCCTTCTCAAGGGGGGATAAATCATTGAAAACAAACCAAGATTTTGGTGATGATTCTTCTTCCTACTTCCCCTGACCTTTTCTTCTTAATTATGGTGTGGTATAGCAACCAAGAGTATGAATCCTTTTGATATTTTATCCTAATCAATTTGTTAGATAATGAAAGGAATCAAAGAGTTTATTAGTGATGTGTGTCTCATCTTATTTTCGATAATGTATTCATTAACGCATGATTAGCTTGATCGTGTAACTAAATAAATACATACAAATATTTGCACAAGATGTGATCATCTGTCTTACTTTTTACGTATCTAATCCGGAATGACACACCTTCATTAGATTGAAGTTTATGTATCCTAAATGAAGTGATTTCAGTTAAATTTTTTTTGTTTACACTCAAGTGTTGTTGAGTTTTTATATAATTCCGTGTTAAATGTCGCCCTTAAACATAGTACTTGCAAACAAGATTACGTTATCTTACTTATGAAACAAGACCGATCCAAACTACATTGCTGATTCTGTTTGCTTAAATAACAAGCGGTATTGTTTACATTAAGTTGTATACTAGTACGATAATATTCGTATTTATTACCGTAAAAATGTCTTTATAATTTTAGTCAGTCAACAATGAACATCCTCTAAATATGCCAAAAAGGTTATATGAAAAAAAAAAAAAAACCAATTCTTTAAATATGGCCAACCAAAAAAAAAAAAAAAAGAAGAAGAAAGCCGACCGAAGATTTGGTGAGGATGGTGAAGAGAATATAAAAAAGCATATGGACAGGAAATGACAAGCGATGTAATTAATTATGGAAAATGATCGTTGTAGAAAATGGCCCTAATAACTTCAAGAATCTTTAAATACTACTTGGCCTATTTGCTTCTAAGTATAGACAATGGTCCGTGACTTGTGCTGTTTTCATTCCCGGTAAAACTAACACCATTACTTCAGCTTAGAAGCAAGAAAAGCATCATCGTTTCCTTATCACCATGAAGGAAAACAAAACACTAAATAGTAGTATAATTTTTTTTTTAAAAAAAAAAACAAGAGTTTTGATCGTTATTAAATTTACAAAGATGAAAATACTAGTTAATTTTCGAAACTGATCATATAACTACTTTGAGAAAAAGACAAAACTATATTACATATACTTCGTCTTTTGAAAATAAAAATTTTACTTATTATTCAGAGTCGTAGATAATATGATTTGTTTTAGACGGAGTGATATGAAAGACAAGAGTGATGATGCGGAATTGTTAATGGTAAGATGAACTCCAGTAAAATCAGGACATGAATGATGTAATGTACTACAAATGGTTGGGGGGTTGATGAACATACTTATTTATTCAATCTCATACTTCACCCAAACAATTCATTCTTTTTACCATCAAGCTAACACGAAACTAGAGGAACAAATCAAACAGTGACTATTTCTTTAAGATAAAGAAACATTAAAGGACACAGTTATTTTCTTACTTTATGTCCTTAAATAATTGTAAGGTTATAATATAACAAATTAAACAATAATTTTAGGACGTAAAGAGTGTTAACTAACAAAGAGAGGATAGAAAACAACATCTACGGACGACCTTGATTATTTACCAAGCATCGCAGCTCACACGTGTGAAACAATAGTTCGTGTATTTCTGATCAACTTTACTTCTTTCTTAATAAGATAATAATCTTACAAAACCAAATCATCAGAAGTCAAAATGTTAATACTAAATTACACGGCACAACAACTAGTTATCCATTTAATATTACTATAATTAGTCAATTTTTGGCAGCTAACTGGAATCTATCTTGTTCCTTCATTTTGTTTCTCTAATAATTTAAGCAAAATTGTTCCTAACAGATTGATCCTCCAGTAGATGGATCAAATATTTGTAGATCATTAAACAAGGGGGGGAAAAAAAGACAATAAGAAAGAATAAATACACTTTGCCGGGCAGTAAGGTAATCAAAGAAGCATTTTTGTAACTACTTAATTTTTCATTCGTGAAATTATTACCTTTTTAAACCATTTAAATATAGAAAAATCCAAAATTAGGTAAGATGTTCCCAGCAAACTATACAAGGAAGAATCAGAAAAGCCTGTATCGAGGGCGTATTAACCGCTTCTTCGAATTTGTTTCGAGTAAAAGTAATAAATTTATTTGGAGAAAAATTTGATAGTTTTGTTCACATCTCGTGTTCTAGAAATGCCAAGGTCATTAAAGGAGATAAATCCCTAAAATCCACAATTACATTTTGTCGCATGTTATTCTGATTTTATTGGTGTTAAGTCATTGTCTTACTTTAGAAAGAGGGTTTCTCATGGTGAAATAGTAGCAGTAAACCAATGAATCAGAATTTGAGGGTGAAGGAATCAAATTTCGTTGCAAAATTTTCTTACATGTTTTAAATTTATTGCATTCGATAAGTTAATTTGATAATGATTCTCACACCAAAGAAAATCCAATATAGTAGTATCATGTTTGCGAAAGTGTTTGTTTGAGTTAAAAGTCAATGTGTACGCTGTTCACCCATCATATATATATATATATATATATATATATATATATATATATATAGCAAATAAGGAGTAATAGCCAGTTTTAATATACACGTACAGTATTAGTATAATTTTTGAATAGCTAAGTTTGACACGTTACCGACAATCTGCATTCGTGTCTTTTAGAGATTATTGGTGATTAAAAATTGAGATACTTATTCATAATTAATATATGTGACTATTCATTCATCATAATTAAAATATATAAATGAATAATACTATACGCAGACAAGATAGTTATTTCATTCACTCATTATAGCAAAGTGGAAAGGACATTGGAAACGATCGATCAAATGCTTGATCTTTAAAACAAGAAAGGGAAAACGATCCACATTTTGATTAGTTATGGTGTTTCTACAACGTATGTTTGATTTCTTTTTTTTTGAAATATCACAACGTTTTACACCCATGACAGAATAAGTTGTCATACTACATAAATTTAAATTATTTGTCAAAACCTCATGATCGTGATTTATTTAACCATATCCTTCCAGTCAAAATCATTAACAACACTATGGTGATTCTCTTAACTTTTATACATTCTTAAATCTTACTCTCTCATGTCCTTGTTATAAGATATTTTGATTTCGTGCTAGGTTTAACTTAGGGTGTCTTTTTTTATTAAAAAAAATTTTAAAAATATATTTTCATATTCGTTGTGCTCTCCTAATTATTATGAAACTAGATGTTACCCGTACGTTGTACGGGGTAGAAGTACCATACTTTAAATAAATATCACTTTATAAACAAATATCTATGAATGCATACATAATATGAATTTCAAGTATCATTAATCATGAATAGAGTGGTGTTCATATAATATAATTTGCGAGAAAGGGTGAATCTAACTTTCATTAATCATTAATATAAAAAAGATGGCCAAATAAAATTATCTTCGTTTTAAAAGGGTAGTTTATACCCGTGGGCAAAGTGAAATGCGAGATTATATACATTAATCATTCATGTTGCTGATTAAGATCTTGAAGTCCAGCATCCATACACAACCCTATTCACAAGTCTACATCTTTTAGCAGCGTAAGGTAGACTGGAATATTAATGGCAGATAAACATTGATTACAACATAGAAAATCATATATAACTCTTGGAAAAGCAAATTTGACTATTCCAGATTTTCATAAATAATGAAGTTTTACAAATCCGACTATAAATATAAAAAATCTTTATCAAAATGCATTCCGTGGCTTCCACAATTAAGAAAACGCTTGCCGCCTAAGACAGACTTAATCTGATCAACGTATCAGACAACCCTGTAATTTTTGCAAGAGCAAAAGATCTTGCATCGAAGAACACCTCTGCAATTCGTGGTGAATCAGAACGTTTAGCCCCTTTTTTCTTGCATACTGACAAAAGGCAACGTGTTGTGATTTAAATATGTGTAATAAGAACGAATGAAGGCATTTTTGGCCCAAATCTCGTAGGGTTTTCCATACCCGTCCGATAAATTAGATTAATCATAATCGCCCAATTCGTGGAACAACAGGACCTGACAAGTCATCTCTTTATGAAAAAAACTTAACATACAGATAAAGGGGGAAAACCGATGGACGCATACTTACATGATTTGTGGGAAAACAATTCGGAAGATTGCCAAATGAGATTATCAATCAATTGTTATTTGGAGTGGTCCTTTAACATCACCAACTTCCTCTTTGTGTTAAAATTGCGGTGAGCTCTTCCATCGTATCAAATTCTCGAGCAAGAAAATAAATCAATCGATGGCCTTTCAAAATTTTTAATAGATTGACTCAGCAGAGTATGATTTAAAATAAAAAAAGATTCCAACCAGAATAAAAGATTTGGGTAAAATAAGATGAGATCGGGTAAGATTTGTTCCAAAGTATTTGAAAAAAGAATCTTCTACCGGATGATTATTTAAGTAATATTTTTTTTCGTAGAGTTTTTTAACCCAAGATAAAACTTTTTTTTCGTTTTTAATAAATAAAAAAATAGAGAAAATTAATAGTCCTACGTGGCAAGTGAAAAACTATTTCAATTTTTTATCTCTTGATTTTTTTAATTAAGTTATATAGATGTTTTTAAGGTTTGTATTCAAATTAAGAACACATCTTAGGTGAAACGTAGGACAAAATCAAAATAATAAGGACCGGAGGGGGTAATTGTAAATTGGGTGTGACCAATTCATTAAAAGTGATTATCGTGTATTAATTTAATTAGAGGCCCCATTTCTTATTCTTCTTCTTTTTTTAAGTGAAACATATTTCAGGACTTATTTGTCAACTAGTTACATCGCCATTGCCATTGCCATTACCGGTGAAGTGGCTGCTGCCGCTAGTCGGCCGCCGTGTAAGGCGGTGGTGGGCGGCTGGGCCACCTTTGGACGGATTGGATTAGACCCAAAAAATGAAGCATCAAAGAGGACCACAGCCCGTAACTGCTACATTAATTGTGTAATACTGCTACCAGATTCCTTCGTCTGTTGTGATTGAGGCCTTTGCCCCCACTTTTGTCTTTAATTGTTGGATTCCAATTAATAATGTTTTACCTTGTCTTTTCTTGATGAAAAAACAAATGTTGTATATATATACATATTTTTCTTCACATTATACAAGACAGTATTCCTTATTT